ACCAGAGTGACTGCAAGTGTTCCTTAACAGTCAGTGGAAAAGTTGCCAAGTATGTCCTGTTAGGATGGCCGTTAGCTAAGTGGTAGTGGTTGCTTTCTGAGTAGTTTGGAAATATATGGAAGGTGGAACTGACTATCACTCCAAGCAAAAGATGTAATCTAGGTATGTGTAGGTATCTGTGAAAGGGAACAGAGATGAGAAAAGGGGTAGGTGAGCATGTGAACACACCTGGGCGGGCTTCAGGTTCATGTCCTCCCCTGATTGAGTGCGGCTGCACTCTGGTCTCTGTAAGCTCTCGTTTCCATTCTAACCATAGCTATGTGTTATGTCCAAACCCTGACCTACTGTACTTTAGCATATTACTTTGGTTTACTGAAACATGGCACATTGATGCTTTAGTTTATGAAGTTGGCTAGTTTCAATATACCACACTTAAGATTAAGCAGGGGGCACACAAAATGCTAAATAGCAGTTCAATGAAACCAGAAACCGATTTCTGAGCTCCTTATGAGATGGAAAGCACACACACACACACACACACACACACACACAAAAAGCCCAAGGCTCAGCCAGGCTCATTCACATAATCCTAAATTATAGTTTAGTGCTATATGTCTAAACCAGATCAGAGAAAGAGAGAGATGAGTTTGTGGGCTCTGTAAACTAGCAGTGTTTAGTGGTGCTGGCTGCCTCTCTGGAAGTTTGATGTGGGACATTGGAATTTGCAGTTAAGAGTGTTCAGTCTGGTTCTAGGATGAAAGATAAAGGTAAAGGTACCCCTGACCATTAGGTCCAGTCACGGACAACTCTGGGGTTGCGGCACTCTACATCTCGCTCTACAGGCCAAGGGAGCCGGTGTTTGTCCGCTGACAGCTTCCAGGTCATGTGGCCAGCATGACTAAGCCACGAACCAGAGCAGCGCATGGAGACGCCGTTTACCTTCCCGCTGGAGTGGTACCTATTTATCTACTTGCACTTTGACGTGCTTTGAACTGCCAGGTTGGCAGGAGCTGGGACTGAGCAATGGGAGCTCACCCTGTCATGGGGATTCGAACCGCCGACCTTCTGATCGGCAAGTCCTAGGCTCTGTGGTTTAGGACAAAACTTGTCCCCAAATTCTCAGCAGTTCTTGTCATTTGAAAGTGTTTTCTATTTTTCTGGCGTATGCATACGGTACTTTAAAATCTCAGTCCACACACAGTTGAACTTATTGTATTGTTTGTGAGGTGGCCTGTGCACTTCTCTTTCTGTGAAACATTTCTCCAGCACTCTGCAGTCTTCCCAAATGCCCACACTTCCTGATCTGAGGAAGATCCATGGGATGAGTTGCCTCATGACATCTTCCCCTGAGCTTCAAATTAAAGCACGGGAAGATAGGGAAGCTGGCTACCAAGCACTTGAGATTAGTATGTCAAATGATTCTGTTCAAGGGAAGTCCTTAAAAAGAGAGTTCTCCACAATCATTTCTTTAAAAGTAAGAGACTTCGCTTAGAAAACCCCCAAGCATAAACAACTGGATGACATCCAGTAAGCAGCCTCCCCACCTTCCTGTGCTTGGAGAAAAGTCCAAGCATGGTTATCACGCTGTTTTCAGGAAGCACACATACCCAAAATCACTGCTGAGTGCAGGGCACCAGAGACATGGTGTAGAGGTTAGCATATCAGACTAGGACCTGGAAGACTAGAGCTGAAATCCCCATTCAGGTATGAAGTTCACCAGGCCCCAGGTCAGTCACTGCCTCATGGCCTACCTCACAGGGTTGTTCTGAGGATGAAATGTGGAGGGGGAGAACCATGTACGCCACTTCGTGAGCCCCTTGAAGGAAGATTGGGTCTAAAAGTTATAGTAGAAATATTAAGTTTTGTAGAATGAAAAAAAGGATGCTCACAAAGACCCCTCAACCACGTTGAAAGTCTAACAACTGCTACCAAAGCCGCCCCTCCCCCGTTGAGGATTTTTGTACACAATGTGCCATATAAATACACACACCACATCACCTTACCTTTGGAGTATGTGGGGTGTCACAGAGCTGGAGCTTTTGCCAGGTGATGTAGTGCAGCGGTGTCCCAGGATAATCTTCCAAAGGGAGAGGTTTCTTCCTCAGAGATTCCTTACCTTTCCTCACTGGACTTGCCCACGATTTCGGGAAAGAAAGATCATCCAGCTGCCTCTGTGGGGTGACCGGAACAGGGCAGTTTACTCTCCAGTTCCCAGTCTCCCAGTTTTTCTGAGGGGTGACATGACTCGGCTCTTCCTCTTGCATGCTATTGTCTTCTTCCATCTCAGTGTCTTCTCCACAACTTGAAAAATCCAGCTTCTGGATGAAGTTATTACCGCTACTGCTCTCCCAGTCATCCATGGTAGCTGGAAAGAAACAAAACACACAGCCCATTGATTAGCCTTTTGCAATACCTGTCTCAGCCTAGGAAGTTACATCTAGCCTAAGGCTCCAGGAACAAATTCCTTCAAAACAAAGTTCTTAGATACTTTCCCCTTCAATCTTCTCAATTGCGCAATTTCACACAATGCAAAGGCCACACAAACTACCTTGACTTTGTCCCCAGAGTTGTATTTGCTTACAAGAGCTAGTTTTCAGCTTTTACTCAATATACAGACATCCATTTTGAATAATCCCACAGCTACACTGGCATGAGAAGACATCCTCCATTTGAAAATAAGACGGCATTTAAAAAAGAAAAATAGTAAGGGAGAGAAAGAAAGACTCTGAGGAGACCCAGGAATAAGGGTATTGTTATATTAACCCTGAAATTCTATGTACACTGCTTTGGGAATTAGCCCCACTGAACTCACTGGGAGTTTTTCCAAGTAAATGTGAATAGTCTGTGGCTGCACACAGGTCTCATATTAATCAGGAATAAGCATTTAGTCCACAGCTGTCCTCACACAAGGGGTTAAGTCAGTATATACAGAAACTAGGCAGAGAAAAGCCCCACATAATAATCCCTTTACACTGATCTCCAGAAGGAAGGCCCTATGCTACAGCCAGATGCAAAGGCACCCAGCCAGCTAGCAAACATTTTCTGACATAGCCCATTCTGACTGGAAAAACTGGCCCTTAATAATGCCCTCACAGAATTTATAACTGCTCCAACCCACTGCCATTAAAAACCAACAATTAAAAGCACAGCATCACCTGTGTTCAAAATGACCCCATACCATTTCCTGCTCTTTCCTTCCTCCTTAACCTACTGAGTTGCAGGTCTGGCCTTACAGTGCATGCTGGGATTGAGGTTTTGCAAAACGCCACTTAAGAGCAGTTCCCTTCCCTGCATAGCTTCCTGTTTTTCATCATGGTCCATCCTGCAAGGACTTGCATCCATGCAGCTCCCACAGCATTGGAAAGCGCTTGCCCATGAGAAGTAAGGGTGAGCAGTGACGTAGCCAGGTTTGCTGGCGATACAAAATTGTTCAGAGTGGCTAAAACAGAAAGAAGGTGGCAAAGAGGTCCAAAAGGACATCTCCAAACGGAGCGAATGGACATGATTTCACAGATAGGCTCATGGGGTCTGAACCCACCAGGAATGAGACCTTGGGGGTCACAGTTGACAGCTCACTGAAGGTGCTGACACAGTGTGCAGCAGCAGCAGTGAAAAAACAGGCAAATTCCATACTAGGGATCATTAGGAAATGAAAATAAAACACAGAGCAGTTATTGAAACCTGCGGTGTAACTGCACTTGGGAGCAGTAGCGTGTACAGTTCTGGCTGCTTTGCCTCAAGAAGGATATTGTAGAGTTGGTATGGAGAAAGTGGTTGGAGAAATGTTCTCCACAACTCAGGGCCATCCACTGCAGTTGAAATGTTGGAAGATTCAGGACAGGCAAAAGAAAAGACTTTTGCACATAGTTAAAACCATGGAATTCATTCCCAAAAGAGGCAGTGTCGGCCACTAACTTGCAAGGTTTTAAAAGAGGATTAGGCACTTTTGAGGAGAGTAAGGGTATCAGTGGCAGGTATGCTATGGCATGATCCCTCTTTGCTGGTCTATCTTTAGTATCTGCATGTTTTGGATTTTCTGGCTGATTGGCTCTGAAGCTAATTGTTATGATTTGTTAGTATTTGTATTGTTATGTATTGCGTTTGTGTTCTGGATGGTAAACATCTTTGGGAAAATAGGCAGGATATGCATTCATATATATATAACCTAGCTTGCAGTCCAAACCAACATATTGGCAAGTCCAGAGGGAGGTCCTACTGAACTTGGTGGAGAATAATTGTGCATAAGCCGAAGTGCCAGAAAGGAAGTTCCATTTCTGATTGGACACCCCCAGAGATTGTGCCTTTAGGATGTAATCCTGTGCAGAGGATCTTGCAACCAAATCTTATGCGTATTTACTCATAGGTGGCACTTTGACCGACAGACTTTTTCTTTCGGATATGTGTGGTTGCACTCCTAAACCCGCTTACCACAGAGTAAGCCCCATTCAAAAGGCCAGCACTTACACGCAGCAACACGGTTAGAGCAATAGACTTGGGTGCAAATCCTCATAGCATGGAACGCAGCCTCACAGGGTTGTTGCCAGGAAAAGGTGGGAAACAAAGAACCCCCAAATTCATTCATTTTAAAGGCGCGTGCGTCCCTGTTAAGCCTTTTAAGAAAGGCAAAAGGCTACAAGCATTTGCAGTGCAAGCCCTTGAGCAGTTTAATGGGGTGGGGGATTTACACGTAGCGCAAAACGGATCGGGCTGTTAAGCTCTCAGGTGCAGCGCTGCGCGTGTTTACTCGGGACTTTTCCTTTCCACCGAACAAGCGTCCCCAGGCCCGTGCGCCACCTCCCAAGTTTGCGCGCGGCCGCCAGCGCGCACACGGGCTTGCAGCCGGCCGATTCCCTGCGCACCAAGAGGATCGCGGGCAGAGGAAGGCGGGCATCCCTCCTCCGAGCTGGGCGTCAGCTGCCCGCAGCCCGCGCAAGGCCCCGTCTGGCCAGCCGGGCCGGGAAGCGAGGGGGCCGGGCGTCGTCGGAGCGCGCCAAGCGCCGCCCCTCGGCTCCGCCAAGCGCCGCAGCTGGCTGGCTGGTTGGCTGGCTGCTGGCTGGCTGGGCCATGGTGGAGCAAGCCGACGACGCGCCGCTGCTCTTCTGGGCCGAGGGCCCGGCCGTCTCCCTCCCGGAGCCCGGCGAGCCCGGCGGCTGGGGGGGCTCCTGCTCTGGCGTCAAGGGGGAGGCCGCCGCCGGCGGTGGCGGCGGCCCCGGCGGGCGCCTCCAAGAGCAGGAAGGAGCCGAGCAGGTGGAGGAGGACCAGATCTTGGCCGTGTTCGTGGTCACCTTCGATCCCCGCACGGGTAAGGGCTGCTTGCAGCGGAATCGCTTAGGGATGCCCTCGCCGGATCTCCCTTTCCCCCGGTGGAGGAGGAAGGGACTCGGATTCGCACCCAGTCCGTCCCCCCCCCCGGCAGCCCGGGTTGCGCGTGGTGGTGGGTGCCTTTACAGCAGCAAGACCTCAACAAGGGCTTGTGTGTGTGTGGTTTCTCCCCCTTTGGGTTGCTTTCTGGCAGAACCGAGTTCCTCTGACCATGCACAAAGGGCGCTCCCCTCGGCCTCCTTTAAGCTGCTGTTGCACGTCCACATACACCTTCCCAGGAAGGAAACCAACCGGTAGGTTGGCATTAGGGATGTGTCACCTCTTTTCCTACTGCCTTGTGATGCCCAGAGAGGTTTGTAAGATAGCAGCCATGAATTCTTGGGCAGGGAAGGTGACTTGCACCTGTTTGCTTTTCCACCAGGCTTTTCCTAATGGAAAACTTAATAGTGTCTCCACCCACTGTGAGACATGGATGCCCTTTGTGGCAGCCACCTCAGTGGTAGCTGATGATGCCCGTTGAGGGTGAAAGGTCTGATTGGTTGTAAGCAGACAAGGCAGGCAGGTGGGGCCTGGCTGAGGGCAAACTGAGGCTAGTGGGACAGTGCCATGTTTGCCCCAATTGTGTAGCATCCCCCTCCCACACAGGTATCCCTCAGAAGACATCTCCAGACGATGGAAGGGGATAGAGTCGTATGCTGTCTACCCACTGCATTCAGAGAGTTGGAAGCAGTAGGGCCTGCACCATTGACCCTTGACCTCTCAAACTGCAACTTCAGAGTAGCACTCCTGGGACTTAGCCCAAAGCATTTGGATGCCTGGTGCCCCCCCCTTCCCCACTGGTGCATCCATGAACATGGGGCATGATTCTCTGGGACGTTTTCCAGTGGAAGAGTCATTGAATTGCAGAAGTGCACAGTTGTGCTTGTTCTGGTGGAGCTGTCCCAAGAGGACTTCCTAGTACCTTAGAATGATGCCCAGGTTGGTCTGTCTGTCTCTGCTGCTCTTAATGGCAGATATGAAGGGATTTCTCTCTCGCCATCTCCCGTAATACTTGAGTATGGGATTACCAAATTGCATTGATGGGTGTTGATTGTGGATGGACAGAAAGGGTGTATCGCTTCTCACTACGTATCTTGACTTGCAGCCAGGGTAGCCAGATATTGGTGGACTACAACTCCCATCATCCACAGCCATTGGCCATGCTGATCGGGACTGATGGGATTTGTAGTCCAGCATCATCCAGAAGCACTGCACTGCCTTACACAATGCGCTGCCACAGAATGTAGCAATGGGCTGTGGGCTAGTTTAGGTAGCTTTTGGGGAGGATCAAACAAATTCACGGAGGAAGACGGGTCTTACCAGCCATTATGGCTAAACAGAGCCATACCGTTCTGAGGCAATATGCCACAGACTACCAGTTTCTGGAGACCAAATAACAAGGGAGGGCTGTTGCCTTCAAGCCCTGCTTGTGGGCTTCCCAAAGGTGTCTTATTGGCTACTCTGGAAAGTGGAATGATGGACTAGATGGGCCTTGGGTCAGACCCCATTGCATTCTCACCTGCAAAGTTGAAGATATGTTTTCTGTTATGTTCTGTATGAATGTTACCAATTCGGAGTAGTTGGAAGGACGTTCCTCTTAAGCAGATATAGTATGAAACCTGTTAGAGGTCACCAGCGTGCTTTCAAAGCCCTTTCCTGTAACCAGAAGGGTCATTTCCCTTCCACTGAAATGGGTGAATTTTGTTGTTGCCCATTGGAAAGGTTGTGGGGTGCCAGCAATAGTTTATCCAGTTTGCAAATGTGCCCATTGGCACAAAAGGGTTGGCAACCCTTGTGTTAAAATGAGAGATTCGTGGCGTCAGGAAGCTCCCAAATGCTATCGATCCTGGACGTTCTGCTCTTTAACTCCAACAATACAAGGATTGTTTGTGGTTACTTGGCTGGTAGGGAGAAAAATACTCTGCACGTGCTTAAAGGCATTGCTGCATATTCCTGGAGTTATCTTTGCTTTTGAACATTAACGGAAAGAATTAAGCCCAGCCTTGCTTTTATAAGGATAAGTAAAACTGAGTACCATTTTCACTGTCAAGTTTCTGCAGCTTGAATCTTTTTGGAGTGGCTCAGTATTTCCTCGTTTCTTGTGTTGCGTCCTTTACCTACATCCTGTTGCATGAATATGTGGCAGGTTTTCAACAGTTTAAACAAGTTCTTTGGAAATATATGCAAATTGTGTGGGTTTTGTTTTTTAAAATTGTTTCCTGCTTTTTCACTGGAGGTTACTGAAGGCAACTAACAACAATAATGCAATGAAATATATTAAAAATAGATAATAGCTGTGAATACACCATTAAAAAACAAGACAGGTAAAAAAAACACAGTCATTTAAAAAAAACCTAGTGAAAACCAATTTCAGTATATTCACAAGCCGGCTTGTAGGCCAAAACGCCTGTTTAAGTAAAAAAACATTTTGTCTAAATAAAAAAGATAACATCATAGCTGCTGCAAGATAGGGTGACAGCTGCCAGCTTGTCTTTAAAAGAGGATTAGATAAAACTCATGGGGGATAAGTCTATCAGTGTCTACCAGCCAGGTTGGTCATCTTATGGGAGGCAGTATGAATACCAGTTTCTGGAAACCTCAGGTGGGGAGACTGCAGCTTCTGCTTGCAGTAATCCTAGGGGCATCTGCCAGGTGAAAACAGTGATAAGCTTTTGGCCCTCTCTAACATGGTGACGGGGTGAGCTCCTATTGCTCAGTCCCGCTCCTGCCAACCTAGCAGTTCGAAAGCATGCAGTGCAAGTAGATAAATAGGTACCGCCCCGGCGGGAAGGTAAACGGCATTTCCGTGTGCTGCTCTGATTCGCCAGAAGCGGCTTAGTCATGCTGGCCACATGATCTGGAAGCTGTACGCCGGCTCCCTCGGCCAATAAAGTGAGATGAGCGCCGCAACCCCAGAGTTGTCCGTGACTGGACCTAATGGTCAGGGGTCCCTTTACCTTTAACATGACTCTTAAGCTCTTATTTAGCCTTTTTAGGCCTTCCTAAAATGACCTGGGTATCTTACAATTGCAGTCCTACAGTTCTGCTTGTATGGAATAAAGTCCTATTGAACTTGAGCGAAAATGCTAAAGGATTGGGCTGCGTGGCAGCTGATTCTTTTCCAGGGTAACCTGTAGCATTGACTGATGCCACGCTCACCTTCAGCAAGTTAGTTCAAGTAGCTTATATCTTATTTGGTCCTAATTCAGGTATTGATGGCTCACCTCTCTGCCCACGCTCAGCCAAGGCAGTTTACATGCATGCATCCAGTTCTGTCTTAGCCACTTGAGTTGGCCTTGCTTGAGAGACTGTGGAGTGGCTTCTTACTTTTGTGAAGCTCAATAATTAATGCTTCGCTTGAGGAGCACTTAACTTCAAGGGTTCTTTAAATGCCTTGCAAATTCCCGAGCCATGTGGTGTAAAATCTGCTGGGTTGATTATGAAACCTGTAATGAAAAGGTCGTGGATAGGTGTGCGATGGCATGTTAGATCGTCCTTAGGATGTTGCTTCTGGTGGTGTCTGCATGGCTGCTGTGTTTGGGGCGGGTTGAAGAAAGAAGTACTTGCAAAAGGAGCATGGTGGTCTCTCCTCCTGTTTGGTGAGGCTGCCTTTTCTCTCCCTCTGTGCTGGAGGTGCTTGGAGGGTGACTTCAGACTTCATATGCGTTCAGTGGTATGAATCTCTGTGTTGAATTCATTAAGAGATTTCTATACCTTTACCAGAAATGATCACTGATTGCAAAGATAATATTGAAAAAACATAATGCTTAATAAACAGAAACATTGAAGCAGTTACTGTAAACTACATAATTAACAATATCATAACAATGACTTAATCCACCACCCTCTAAAAGTCCAGCAAAAGAACTGGGTTTTTACCTGGCACCTAAGGTTGGGACAAAGTGTACTTCATTGGGGAGGTTGTTCTATAGGTTTAGGGCCACCACCAAAAGGGCTCTTCCTTTTCTAAGGATGCAGACATAACTGTACTATTATCAGAGTCTACATATTTTGGCTTGGCTTTCTAAACAGTCATAGCTGGTGGTTGCCACTGACCCCTTCCCCTCTCTGTTCTGGGAAGATGTGATGTGTCAGTTATGGTCACATTGTCCTTAGCTAGGGACAACATCTGGGATCCTTGGGCATCTTTGACACGGCCTGCGCTTGATATCTGTCCCAGGCTCCTGTCCCCCAGCACTTCTTATTTCCCCCCTCCCCAGTTTGGTCCTCCCAAGCAGTGCCTGGTAGTTGAATCTAGCCATCATTTTAATTTCCCATAACGTATTGAGGAAGGCTTGCAGCTCAGTGACAAAACACCTGTCTTGCATCTAGAAGGCCCTAGGCTCAGTTACTGGCATCTCCAGGTAGGGCTGGGAATATGTCCTGTCTGAAACCTTGGAGAGCTGTTGCTAGTCATTGTAGGCAGCACTGAGCTATAGGAACCAATGGTCTGATCTCAGTACAATCCTACCTTGGATTCTGAATGCCTTGCAAGTTGAATGTTTTGGCTCCCGAATGCCGCAAACCCGGAAGTGAGTGTTCCGGTTTGCTAACCTTCTTTGGAACCCGAATGTCTGTTTTCGGAAGCCACACTTTGGTTTCCGAATGTTTTGGAAGTTGAATGGACTTCTGGAACAGATTCTGTTTGACTTCCGAGGTAACTCTGTATAAGGCATCTTCCCATGTCACTGTATTCTGCTGCAGCTTTTTGTCCCCTCTGTTGCCTTCCCTGAGTTTTGGCTGCAAGTCTGTCCCTCAGATGTCTTCGAAGAAATGGTGGAGTCATCTGTTGGTCATTTATGAATGTAGACAGGCTCACTGAAAGTACCAGCCTCAACCAGACTACAGTGAGGAGTGGGGGTTTTTTGTTTTTGTTTTTAGCACTAGTGAAACATTCAAATTACAGTTTATGGATTTATGTCTTCTTGCACAAACAGTCGA